CTGTTCAGTCTCCACACAGTAATACCAGTTGTTCTATTATGAATTATAATAGCTCCTTCATCACCACTGACTCCTCCCACTATAGCATAAAATGGATCTATGAATTGAGTGCTGGCAATCGTATTCACTACCTTTTTGAAATCAGACGAAGGGTCATCAAGAAGGTCGCGAACCTTTAAAGCCAGAAAGCTACTAGTACCCAGCATTGATGCTTGCTTAACATTTAACGTCCAGTCCCCATTGTATCGATCGTTCTGTGTTATAGAGAACCGCCCCGGTTTAACAGCAGTCAAAATTCCGACGTAGCCAGCAAATATTGTTCCACTGTATACCGTGATGCCATTCCTTTGGAAATGGACTGTCACTGCTAGCTTACCTAACGGTCCACCATAGTCAAGGTTCTGCCCGTGAATTATTTTACCAGCCTTTGTAGTTGCAAGGATGCTGGTACAAGCACTGCATGATCAGTGGAGAAGAATGGAATAGACGAAGAGGAGTAGTGAGATGGTTGAGGGTAGGACTGGTGTACGTATGCAGTTAACTCATCGAGCATGTTCCATATTACTATGTCACCGACTGTGATCTGACCGTAAGTCACAAAACTCATCATCTCTTGAGCATATTCTTGAGGATAATAACGTTCTAGGCTGGCAGCCATGATGGAGAGCATGTGATAAGAGTTGTTTCCAATTAGTCTAGGCTCTCTGAAGTAAATTCAAGTAACGAATCAGTTCCTTTAGGTCTTGACTGTAGTCAATGGCTACTTGCTTCCAGCGCTCATTTTGAGGGAGCTCAAGATTGATGTCGTAATTGGGAATAGGAACATCTTTAGCTTGAGCTTGCATTTGTGTGGAAAATATTAAAAGAAACACTAGGCAGACAGCAGCCATCATTGAGTCAAGTTCACCCACGCAAAGGCAAAATCACGTCATGCATTAATAATAATTATTATTAGCCTGGGGTGAGCCATCCTCAATCATGGATCATCATGGGAGAAGCTTTGATTTTTACTCAAATATTCAACAAGTTATTCTCGTCGCTTCTTATTTAATTATTGGATACAAAATAGGTCTAGATTTTAAAAGCTTTTGCGCCATTGCATGCTCTGAGGCGGCATTCTGCAGACCTAGCACGCCTTGTGCTAAATTGACTGTGAGGCTTTCTCAGACATTTTTTGGATCCAAAGTCGTTAAGTTCAAGGATACGACGACTCCTCCAAAATTGAAAATTAATGGAAGGCTCTACTCTATAACAGGTCCAGTGATAGATGGTCTTGTTTATCTCAATCTGGCAGTGCTAATATCCATTATTATATTGCTGCTATCGTACTCTACTTACACCACATTTGATCTTGATTACTGCACTGCTTACAGCAACTGTTATTTTACTGAGGACTCTGGTGATACTTTTGAACCATTCTTTAACTGTTCGCTACCAAAGAATATCGAATTTGATTTTGACAATACCTACTACGTGTGCTTCAATGTACTTTTTGAGCCTATCAAAATGATAGCACTGCTTGGTGGGTTCTTGTACATCGTGCCACCATTACTATTTCAAATATTTGACTTCATTTATGTAAGGATCTTTTTCAACAGATTGTGCTGCAGACGATTAACAACTGGAAAAACAAGAATGTGCATTGCTATTGTTGTTGTGATACAATATTTGATTTATACTGCATATGCTATCTGTAAGTTTTTTTTTGGAACACTAGATTATCCGTTATCATATCAGGTGATGGCAGCAATGGAAAAGTATCAAGTTGATAGTTGGACTCCACTGGTCATGGCATTCTTCTGTTACCCACAAGGGCTGTTTACTCTATACGAATACGATAATGAAATTACAGCAAACTATCAGCAGTTACAGCCCCCACAAAATGGAACTAATCATCAACAACAGGCCCAACGAAATGGAACCAATCGTCAGCAGCAAACGCAACAAAACAGAAATAGATCTAATCGACAGCCTATGCCGGGTCAGCAATTAAACAATCTAGATCTACAACTGCCAGTCCAGCAAAGGGACAATAACATACCATTGACTAGAAACAATGCTAGAAGTGGATATGGAATCC